ACCTCCTCGCGGTGGGACCTGGTAATTGGTATCCTTTTCCAAAGAAAATTCTCACTTTGGAAAGGGACACCAAGCTAAGGACTACGCGAACACCGCTGTCTACTCTGATTTTTGTTTTTTAGTTTACAGTAGACGCGGGTATACTTCGTTATATTATTTTATTGTCGCTAGACTGCCGATTTTTATGCAAATTCATATTTTCATGAATATAATTAAAAAAATAAAAGCTAGATAGGCAACTGTTTTATTCGCTAAATATCATAACAAGTACTATATTTTAGGATTATTCATATATTTTTGCTTATTACGTGCATTCTGTGTATTTTTGTGTCTTGAAATTTTCCATAAATGCATAAAAATCCGCAGTCTAATTATCATACTTTTACTTTTGCAAATCGAGTTCAAATAAGTCAGAATTTTCTTTTCTAACATTTTTCACTTTTCTCGTTCGATATGACGGGAAGTAGATATTTCGTTTTTACATACATTCTTAATTATAATTAACTTTGTTAGTAGTGTAATTATAGGAAAAGGAATTTTACGAATATTTCTATCATACCTTGCCGGATTTGAAGATACAGTTAAATGTAATAAATAAATATGATACTAATATACAATCGGTTTTATTTGATGCTAATTAAAATTAGTTATAAGAAGCATAAAAATCGTTAAAGGTAAATTAAAATGTAAATGATCCAGTTAGTCTTCTGGATTTAGAGTTAGAGTTTAGTTTAGAGTTAGAGTTTAGAGTTAGTCTTCTACAGTTAGATTTCTATTTTTAAATTAGAAATTGGAACAAGTCTTGCCCAATTTTATTTTTCTTCTTTGCGTCTAATACAAATATAACGATGCAATTGAAAATTCTCTCGATAAATGAAACGGTGTATTTTAACCCCTTGACTTATAGCAACCCGTCAGACTCGTAGCACAGATTCTAGTCGAAATGCGACAAAAGTAGTTATATCAGTGAAGAAAAGTAATTTTAATTCTAACTTTTCTTTTAATTTACAAGACTGAGGATTACCAAGTGTAATTAATCTATAATATATTAGATTTTCTTACCTAATATTGTAGTGAAACAATAAATAGCTGGCGCATAGATACATTGTCAGCAAAAAAATCATATGTCAAGGGGTTAAATCGATCGAACGACGAGTGAAATACAAGTTATACATATATGCATTTAAACGAAGCCAGACTTTTAATAATGAAGCAGAAATCTGTCGAAACTGTAAATAGAATTTAAAACAGTTTTCAAATATGTACATATTTTATTAAAAATTTTATTAACGTGAAGATGACGAGCAACGCAAATGTCCACTGATATTTAATTAATTTAATTGATTTACTTAAAAAGAGCTTGCGTAGAATGATTTTATCACGTTGTATGACACTAAAAAGCATGTTGCTAATTTTTCTCTCTAAATTTACTTCACTTCTGTGCTATCCTAATTGACTTCGTTAAACGTTCATTAGCAAGTTAATGTAAAACTATTCGCGAAATTGAACTATCGACTAGCGTTAGGTTTTCGTTAAAAGTTAGCCCATAAGTAGAGAACTTTTGTGACTCGAGTTCCGTTTTAAACGATTGCCATAATGGAATTATGTTCCACGAACCCTTGTTAGGAACAATTTAATAGGTGCTCCAATTTTAAGAAACTTACGCGACGATACGAAGGTTCTTCGGGAGTATCGTGAGGATTTCAAGTGCATTTTGTCAATTAAACTTCCACGGTGATCGCAAACGAACGTCGAAAATGCACAAATCGAAGATTATTAAAAAATTTCTTCAAAAATTATTTCCATACGATTTTGTACACTGCTGACTATGCACTTAACTCAGTTATTTACTGCTTTAGTACTGTGTTAGGTGAAAAAAGGTAATTACATTTGGTAAACCTCAGTCTTATTAAAATTAAAATGAATTTTTATTACTAATATAACTATTTTTGTCACATCTTCGCCAGAATCTGTGCTACGACTCTGACTCGTGATAAGGCAAAGAGTTAGAATAATAACAAACGAAGTAGGTCGTGTGTAAAGACTCAGTTGTTTACCAAGAGACAGTGTTTTTCCAGGAAAGGATAGAATATGTATATGTCTCGGGGAGACAACAGTAAAAAAACTAATTTCTTGTTGTTTCATAGCTATAACACATCTTATTACAAGAAAAATAAACTTAGGATACGATAAAACGAAATTGTTGCAGTAATTGATCTAATTAGCTACACGTAGGCTCTCCTCTATTTTCAATTAACTCGATCATTCGATTGTGTACGTATATATACATACATATTATTCACGCATACACATAACGTGAAACTGTAGCTGTGTAGCTCGCAGAGACACGCTTCTCGTTTGATTTTTCTCCCAAGCTGAGCTGTTCGTTGTGTACTTGAATTCGGTGCACTAGCTTCTTGTATGCAGCGGCACTTAATTCACACGAAGGAATGTGCTAAGTACGTAAATTGATTTGAAATTCGCGTATAATCGAAAACGCGCTGTTCGATGTATTCCCTACGAGACTATAATCGCGCAGTATAAGCGACGTTCGTCGAGGCACTCGTTCGACAGCCTCGTAAACACCGACTGAGGACGAGTCGTCCTACCCGATTTCTGCTCGCTGTACTGGGAAAAATTCAAGGCCTTAACTTCTTAGAACTCGTGATATTTCTTGTCAGCCAAACATAAGAAACGCGAGCCTGAATTGCTCTACGTACATCAAGCCAATCATAAAGCTAGCTGTCCTTTTCAGAGTAAAACTATCGCGAGCTGCTCTCGAGAGTATCACTCACGAGTGGACACTGCGTCTGAGAGTGACTGTCTGAGAGCATCGCTCAACTCTCTGAGTTTAAATTCGGAATATAAGTTATAAGTATGGTCATACTCTTATCTTGAACCGCATTTCTCATAACATTCCCATCACTTCCGGGAAAAATGACAATTACATTTCTCGTTCCTTAGGATGCGTAGAATAATGCTGTAAACAAATTTTTCGTTCCGGCCGTATGCCAAAATTGGCCATTTTTTAACATTCTCATTTATAAGTCATATCGTTGAATTCTAAAATTGTTCGACTATCATTGCTAATATCACACCCTCAAATTTTGTTCGATAATGACTTTTTACATTTG